CTCAAGTAAAATAACATATAAATAGAATGTGAGAAATCACCACATTTTCTAGACTTCACACTTACCATGAAAAGCAAAACTTCATTGTGACCCAACATATTCCCCCAATTTTTTTTTTCTTTTAACCTAAGGATGTCATCTAGTTCGATGTTGTTTATGTCATGAGCGCCCAGAAATGTCTCGGCTCCCTCATCTACATGCTCAGTCCTCCCTCGGTGGAAATGTGTAGTTTGCTGGTGCAGAGTGGTACGGAGGGCCAGTCTCAAATGCAGTTTTTCATTTGAAATTTGCTTCAATTTTTTCAGAAGGGTAGAAATTCAGACACAAAACAACTTAGCTGGAAAATTCAGTTGTGCGATGGTGTCAAAATTGCTTGGTGCCTAAAGTTTATCCTTCTATAGTAAATAAAAGGACATTGAGAAAAATAGAGAGCAGACTATCAAGTATGGATTTGAGTCTTAGTCTCAACAAAAATCAGAACCTAAAAGAATATTTCATCTGCCAGACTTTGGTTTCTTTCGGTTTATTCAGTTGCAAAATCTTGAGGATTTTGAAGAGATCTTAAACAAATTTTACACGGAGGGCTCGTGTATAATGACTGTGCTTTAAATACAAACCTGTACCATTTCTCCCTCCTGTCACATGCTTAAGCATGAGACCGTCTTTCTCAAAGCCAGGTAGTTATAAAAATAACTTTTATAAATTAGAGTTTCTTGGGATATGATTCTACGCTCAAATTTCTTCTATTTGATGAAGATTTTAAGTGACAGAGAAATCATCATAAATTAGAAAAAATGGATTTCTTTTACACTAAATACAAATAGATGGCAATAACTTCTATGGTAGCTATAGCTCACAAGCAATGAATACTTTTCTTAAATGTTTTAATTATCTATTATTGTACTATTGTGCTTTTCCAAAAATTGTCTAAATAGACATCCTTAGGAAGCATGTCTAGTAAACACACAATTGGCATTTCAATATTGCCGAACAGCTCATTTATATGATATAGTTCCAAAGAAATGGTCCACAGAAAAGGTAGACATATATTGAGTCTGTTTTTTAAAAACACAATTTAAGAGATTCAGATGAAGAACTTAAATGCTCTTGCTTTGATCAAAAATCATTTCAAAGCATGAGACATACAAAAATGTTAGGGTCTTTGTAATAATCCCCTCAAAGGTAAACTGTATTAGGTATGATTTTTAAAATAAAATGAATATATCCTCTTTTACAGTTTTGAGTAATATATATTAATATTTATAAATCATACATGCTTAATCTACATTCTTTTAAGCTCTGTCACATAGCAAAAGTTAGCTCTGGTTTGGCATAGCACATATAAATAAGGTTATGCTATTCTTTTAAGTTCAGTATTATCGTATATGCATTGTGTATCAAAACAACAGATTTAATCTGTCCTATACTTGTTTACCAATATTCAAACACATTTGCCATGCTCCACTTCATATTAACTACAAATATGCCTTTTACAAATTTGAATATTTAGGGTGATATGACTTTTTAAAATTCCTATGTATTCATATTAACCATGCATATTGACATTTAATAAAAGCTACTTGATTTAATGATTAACTACAGAGATTATAACAAACTGCAAATAAGTCATTTCCGTGAATGGACTCTCTATGGGTGTCACACGGCCTCTCAAAGCCACTCTAAATATCCTCACTGAAACTGTTACTGACTAATGTGCTACATTTTAAAGCCAAATTGGGTTTTCACTCCTCTCCTGCCAAAATAACTAGAAAGAATGCCTCCTATAGCAAATTGCAAGTTTAACTACAAACCCATTCCTAAAGATTAGAAAAGGAGAAACGTTATTTGTCAATAAGTGCCCAAATATTCAAGAAAAATTTTGGTCTTAAAAGGATTTTTTTTTAAGCTACCCTTCAGCTAAAGAAAAGTACCATGCTCACATAAACCTAGGAATTATAAAAAAAGTTACCTGGATAATTCATCCCTCCTCCCCCGCACAAAAAAAATGTTGATTTCTTTCAAGTGCTCGAATATTTTAGAAAAAACTATTCTATGAGCCTGAAGTATCTGGATAATTAATTCAACAATTTATTTAGTGTAAGCAGATAAATTTATAAGGCATTTAGGCTTAGGAGAAAAAACAACTTTTCATGCCATTGTTTCATTTCTCTGACCTCACCCTTTACAATGTTTAAATTTGGAGTTCAGTTTCTTTCACAAGAAATTAAAAACGTTAGTAAAGATTTTTTAAGGGGTTGGTTTGCAAAAATACTAAAAGTTTCATTTCTAAAGTATCTCTGAATTTGAATGAATATTTCTCAAAACCTTCAGTGTCATCAATAGAATCTGACTGCTTTAGCAATCATTTTATAACATTAAGAAAATTCAAGCAGGAGTGGGGGAGCTAGAAACATAAAATGTTTCTTTTTATGGAACTAATTTGCCCGGAAATCAAAAGATAAGTGGTTCTACATTTTAAACTAAAGGATCACATACAAAGCTATTTTGCTGTATTTCTGTAGGCAAAAAGGTAGAAAAATTTAACATAAGGGACAAAATCCTGTCAGTATAATAAACTTGGACTATAGCCAAAGTGAAACTCCTAAGAGCTATTTGCTTTACAAAATAAAACTATAGCTTTATTTTTAAAGATGGTATCTTTAGCATTTTAATGGCAAATGACTCGACAGAAAAGGATGAAGCTTTTCTCCTCTGCATTTCAAAATTCACACTTACTCAATGCACTGTACCTTACCGGCAATTTCAAACACTGCAACAAACATGTATGACAAAATTTCAGATCACTGTCTACAAATTAAAGTCTAAAATTTTCTGAGTTTCCTATCCAGAGACATGTAAAAGTTTCCCTCATTATATTAGAAATCAAAGAATGTTTTAAGCTTCGTAGGAATGAAATAGTCATGCAATGCAGGAAATTTTGAGATCTTAAGACTTTAAAAAATTCTTATCTGTACACAATAGGATTTCTTCAGTCAAGTTTTTGTATAGTTTGTGTATGTTTTGTACAAAAAAACTTGTAAATTCAAGATTAAGTAGTGTCATTCTTTGGGCAAAAACCAAAATAACTTTTCTCTGATGGTAGTTCAAAACAAAAGATTTACTTGGAAAATGACTATTGTGGACATCTTAATGTGAGTTCTATAATTTTAATACGGTGTTCACCTTTTTCTAACCTTTCAATAACCTGTTTGTAGATAGTCTTGACAAATCTGTTAAAGAAAAACTACTTGACTCACCTATTAATCTGATAGCATGATTAACCAGAAAGGAAATCCACAACCAGTATCCTTAACATTTTATCCTTCTTGGATAGTTTCTAGGATACACCTAGTACACACTGCTGGGCCCACATCAATCCAGAGCATCATTGATTATCTAAAAGAAACAGATGTTTTCAAAAGTAAATAAAACCGTGTATTTAAAATGTACTTATGTATCGGCCAGATGTCAAAGGAGGAGGAATCAATTTTAATGGTTTCCAGTGTAATACATGACAAATTAATTTCCTTTTCTAAGTGAAGGAAATAAACTGGTTCCTTCATTTCGCTTATCAAATGTGATCATTTGTGTAATTAATATTGTTTTAGTTTTACAAAGAATGTTTTAAGAAGTTATTTCTTCTACATTACACGTCGAAATATTGTTTTTCAAAGTATATCCAGTTAAGCTTGTTAAAATAATATTCCTTGTTTAAAATTAGACATTAGTCAGGGGAGTAAATTATAAACTCTCAACGTTTTCAGGGAGCTTCGAGATACTTTGACCAGTTACTACAGGAATTGAAAATAAAAGGTCTCTCCTCTTTTTAATAAACTTGTAACTGGACAAAAAATTATTTTGTGGAGGTCAAATGTACATTCCCTTTTCAGGTGAAACAATGTTAGGCTGGTTAAAACCAAGTGTGAGTTGCATATTCTAGAAATTCTGCTTCAATAAAAAAGAAATGTGGGATTCTAAATTGTAAATTATTGATTGTCCTTTACGATAAAATCTTTGTGTATTCCTACACAAAGCCATCAAGGAGCTCATAAATGGTACATTTTCAAACTTAAGACCTTATATCCTACTTCTATAGAGGTTAAAAATATATTAGCTTTACTATCGGGCCATTAAATACAAAGGTATTTTACTTAATTTTGACAGTAGTAATGTAAAACTGTATTTTCATATGTATCTTTAAGGTTGGAAATTATGGACAGTTACAGATTTCGGGATTTACAAAACCTCTGGGCGGCTGGCCCTGCTTGCACTTAGGGCTGTGACAATTCCTCTACAGTTCCGCCGCACGTGGAGCATTGTCAATTCCCTAGGTCAACAGCAATGCTTCCCACCCTGACAGGTACCCAACTAGACAAGCATGAAGTTGGGATAATCACAAAAAGTAGGGAACAGAGTTCTTTTAATGGTGCATGTATTTAATTACATTTTAAAATTAAAACTTGAGAATTAAAAGCTGGGAACTTTCGAGTTCTCCCAGCAACAAAAAGTATGTATATAGCTAATCTTGAACAATCACATTCCTAATTCAATTGCCTAGAACTCCAGTCATTAGCCAAGCAGTCTTCCAAATTAAGACATCCGGTCTCCTCCAATTTTCCACTTAAACCAGAACACAGGAGAATAGATTTGACCAATCAACTTAGGATAAAATTACACATGAAAAGTGATTTACAGTGTATGGATTAGTAGTTATACAGCTGTATTATGCAAAACCTATGCCGCCACTCAGAAGTTTCATGGATTCACAAGCTTCTAGGGAATTACCTCAATATTCTTGATCTAGATTGTAGAAAATGGGTCACATTTTTAAAATGTGCATTTAGTTATCTTCTTAAATGACTAGAATGTTTACACATTTCCATTTGAGTGATTTAAGGTTAATTTCATAAACTCTGAATAGAATTGATATTAAAGATGTCGTGTATGATGCATATTTGGAATCTATATGATACATAATCATAATAAAACTACACACGAGATTCTCAGTTCATATAATTTATTGCAGTTAGCACACAGTTTAAAAATTCACCAACACACCAATAGTACAAAACTAAACAGCATTATAAGTTATTCCCCCCTCAGGAAAATAAAACATACTATGATTGTCAAAGCTAGATGTCAGTCTAAGTTTTAGAACAAAGGAAGAATGTGAAACTAAGGAAAGGAAAAAGCAATCACTCACAATGACCACAAAAAGAAAATCCAAAAGAAAGTCCGTTTTCTCACAGACATTGATTGTCTTCTCTAAATTAATAAAAATTATTTTAACATAAACTGTATTTAAAAAAACTAGAAACTCTTCAAGTAACTAAAGATAATGCTCCAAGGCCATTTTCACAGCTTTTTTTGTTTGTTTGTTTGCTTTAAATGCCATTACAGCCAAATTAACACACATTTGACCAAATATTTCCAAAACAGTCCAGCAACACACAATGGAGTTTTCCATTCAGTATCTTAAGCACAAAAATAGGCTATGTTTACAGTAGTTAAGGCGATCAAATTTTAAACAAAAGCAATTAAAAAAAAAAAAAGGGAAAAACAGCAAACGTTTTCCATGCTACTCCCATAGACCTTATTTGTAAGTGCAAGACAGGAAAACAAACACTGTGCAAAATGCTTTTGCCCTGCGTGCTGGTCATTAAAACCACACGTTGGGCTGCAGCCTCTGCTGCCGCGATACACATAGTCTACTAACCCCCTTCCCCATGTCAATCAAGGCAGTCCAGTCCTTTCAGCCTGGCGCTTTTTCAGTCCATAGAATCTTTTCATGAGTAGGGGGTGAGGGGGTGGAGGGGCGAGGGGAGGAAGGGAGGGAGGGCAGGGAAGAAGGGGAGAGAAAGAAAAGGGGCGCAAACAAAAAAAAGAAAGAATGACCTATTGTCAATTTGTGCAGTAGTTATTCTAAAAATGCTCAACTGGGTAAATGTGTACACCTAAACTCTGAGCTGGCATGAGTTTTGTGCAATTAGAAGTTTGTTATAAATGCACACTGCACATGCAAATCTTTAAGCCGTTTGTAAACATTTATATTTTCCTTGTTATGTAGCGAAGTTATCAATTTGCAGCTTAAGTTTTTATTCAGCTTAACAGTTTCAACTTAAAGACAGTGGGAAAGTCAATTTAAATTATATAAAATAAAAATAAAAACAGTGCATTTACGTTCTTCATAACACCAGTTTTTTTCCAAATGGTGCTATTTTTCTAAGGAAATTAAATAATTTTAAACTCACTTGTTAAAGTTATACAATGCAAACAAAGACAAAAAATATATTGAAACTCATGCATTTCTGTAGCGTTAATATTTACTTTTCAAGACTCAACTAAGAGCATCAACACAACCTGTCAAGTTCTTTGACACCCCCCCAGCCCATGTAATCAATTACAGTATACAATAACAGTAATTCACATTTTTAAACACACAGTTCAACACTGCTGAAGCTGCAATATCCTTTTTCATCCCAAGCAAACCTTCACAAGACAGTGTCCCAGTGATCCCAGTGTACTTGCAGAATTTCTCTCACTGGGAACCGTCAGAAAACCAGAAGTTGCCACAGAAAGTTTTAAGTCAACTGCTTGTTTAAAAATAGATAATCCAGCATTTCAGAAATTTTCCATTTGGGTCTAAAAGCATTCAGGTTTCCAACAGCCAGAAAAGATTCATGCAATTTGAGACATATAAAGAGGCTAATCAAACTGGAGGGAATTTCTACTTTAAAAAAAAATTGTTGGGGGGAAAAAAAGAGCTCAAGAGACAATGCAGAGTTGACAAATTAAGCCATATGAAAGCATTTTGTGATAGGACGATTTGTTTAAAAGGTTCTTATTGGCTTACTTCCCCTACCCCCCTCAAAGGAAAAAAACCTCTCTATTCTCTGACTTGCTCTAAAGTTTCTTTTATCAGAATGCTAAATTAGTGAGATTCTCATGCTAGTCTAAAGTGCAAAAACAAGTTAATATCCCAACTTTTAGTTCCAGGAAACAAGACTGCTTTTAGACCGTACCACAACTATATAGAGATCTATTTATATATATATATATATTATTTATATATATATAAAATTATTTCCAAAGTTCTTGAGAGCTATCTTCTAAGGTCCAGTCTCTGACAGTAGGCAAGCTCAGGGCTTCGCTTTTGACAGACAAGGAGTTCACCAACTCACAGTGGAACTTGCGAATGTGTCTGTACAGGTCTCCGGACTGCGTGAACCTGCGCTCGCACCACTTGCAGGCGTGCGGCTTCTCGCGGGTGTGCACCACGGCATGGCGGCTCAGGTTGTGCGAGTACTGGAAGCTCTTGCCGCACTGGGTGCACGTGTAGGGCTTCTCCCCCGAGTGAGTCCTCTCGTGGCGCTTGAGGGTGTACATGCAAGAGAAAGTCTTCCCACACAGCGAGCACGTGGGCACGTTGACATCAGTGGCGGGCTTGCTGCGGATCCCGTCCTGCTCACGGAAGTGGGTGCTCAGGTGGATCTGCAGGATGTGGGGGCTGGGGAAGACTTTGTTGCACAGAGGGCACATGAAGATCTGGCCCGCGGGGCTCAGGATGTTGGACACGTAGGGGAGCAGACTGCTCTCCATGCCCCCCTCCACCTGCACACGCTCGTTCTCCGGGGTCATCATTTCATCGTCGCTGGCTTTGTCCTCCCGATCCAGCTCCCGCAAGACCGAGTCCTCCCTCAGCGGAGCCAGATGGGCCGGCTCATACTGTACCCTGTTATTAGTGCTCACACTTTCTTTCACAGTGCTATGTTCCATGTCATAGTCATTAGTGCCAACATCACTCTCATCACAGGAAGCCTCTTTCTCCACCTTCACCTGCACCAGGTTGCTTCTCAGCACGTCCTGTGAAGAGAAATAAGAGCTGTTCAGATTTTCAACTCCTGAAAGGCTGGACTTGACAGACAGGTCCAGCACACAGTCAACATCTGCCGAATCCCTCACGGAGGTGACAGACCTCTGGGACAAAGACTCTGTTGAGCTGCAGGGGCTGGCTACTGTTTTTCCAGCTGCTGTGGCGTGTGGCTCTGCCTCTCCGCCAGCCTGGGGGATGCCTGCTGAGTCTGAGGGCAATCGCATCCACATGTTCCCAGACTCAGCTGCCAAGTCCCTTTTGCTGGGCAGGATGTTCAATTTTTCATCTTCTCCTTCATCTTCATCACTGGGCAGATCGCCTGCCATGTGGCTGCTGCCATCGGAGAGACTCTCGACTTTGTCCGAGCAACTTGAAGCATCTTCTTCCTTTTTGGTGCTGTCTGCCTCCGTGGTGGCTTTCTCTTTCAGCTTCTTTTTGCAGACTTTGACAATGTCATACATGTGGAGATAACTGGCAGCTGCTAGCACGTCTTCAATGGGCAAGTCTTTGAACTGGAGTTTCCCTTCATACATGAATTCAAGCAGGAGAGCGAAAGCGGGGGCTGTAACAATGTCGCTGTTCAGATGAACAATGTCTCTTTTGTCCAGCTGGTCCTTGTAAAAGAGGTGGAAATACATGCTGCATGAAGCCAGTACAGCTCGGTGTGCTCGGAACTGGGCATCTCCCACCAGAACAGTGCAGTCACAAAGAAAACCCTGGTGCCTCTGCTCGCTTAGACACTGCAGCAAATGTCTACTGTGGTCTGGAAACTCCATACTGTCTTCATAACCTGGGAAGAGAGGAATTTCGCATTAGATCCTGGTCAGGAACAACTTTTCAGCACTCTAGTCCCCATATAAAAAAATAATTCCGCTTTGGCCGCCGAGGTACACGTCCCTGAATTTTAATCAGGCTTATGACTCAAGCACTACCAAACCACACGCACAAGATCTAAATGCGAGAAGAAAAATGTACACTTTGCGAACTTCCTTACCCCAGCCAAACAGTCTCTGATGTATCTCCACTTTCCCTGAACTTTTAGTCAAGTTTTAAAAGCCTTCATTTAACTACAGTTTCTTACTAAGAAGAGTTTAGATCTCTTTCACAAGAAATTTAATTAACTCTACTCGTCAAATTATGTCCTGCAAAACCTACAAAATAGCTTTCATTTCAGAGAGAACAACTCATATAATGAACAAAGAAAAGTCCCAAACATATTCTGGAAGATTCAAGAAAACTTGTTCAAACATCATTTTTTCTTTTATTACTTTTGATATTTAACTGTACTTAGAAAGCACAGTTTAAACACACACACACACGTTTGTTTGGCTGAATCAAGAAAAAAAATGAAATCGCATAATTAGTCCAGAAATTAGCAAACAACTTACTTTTAAAGTCAGAGTGTTATAACAACAAAAGCCCTGTGTATAAAAACAGATGTTAATGCCTTAAGATTTGCAGGTATAGCACACATGTACGAGATCAGAAGGAACTACACCAACAGATGGAAAAGATCATCTTTACTATGAACAAATCCAAAGATTTTGAACTGAGAAAAAAATGGTTATATTTCTTTGTGGAATCTGTACTTCTAGAATATTAGGAACCAGAGGGGCTTTATTCAACTCTGAAAATTCTCATCTAAACTTTGATCTGTTGCAAGGCAAAATGAGTTCCATATTAAAATTATTAATTCAAGCATTTTAAAATAAAGGCATACCACGCTTAAATAAAACTCAAAAGCTTTTACAGGTTCGACATTTTAAAAAAAAAGCCTTTCTAGAAAAAGAAACTATTATTTTTTTTCTGGCTCTGCCTTACCTCAGTCAACAGAAAATACTTTGTTTCAACATAAGTTGATATATTTTGTTTTCCCACTAGTTTCTATTCTTTCAAATATGCGTCCTTGCCCTTGTTTTCTGGTGAGGGAGGGTGAAATGGAGGGAGAGGAAAGGCAAAGAGATGTGCAAAGGGTCAAAATTCAACTACAGTGGGTAAACTCGGTAAAATAAAGAAAACCCGACTTCCCCTTTCCTGAGACCAGAAGCAAGGATTCACAGCAGCCATCTCAGCAAGTGCATTTTGGGAATAGATACACTTAATATTCAGAAATTACTTCCCTCCTTCTTCTACACTTTGCCCAAGACAGACTAAAACTTTCATCCTAACCCCAAACACATTCTGCAAGATGCCCCTGCTAGAATAAACTAAGATTTACAATACAATCACTTTAAGTGCCCCACAGCTAACATCAATCCTAATCCTTGAGAGGGCTAAAAATAAAGATTGGAGGGCAGCTCACAAGGTAGCCGTGATCAAATTAGGAGGCTGAGAGGACAGAGAGGGACGAAGAAGGAAGCTTATAAACATCTGATCCAGCTGACTGTGGCCATATGGCAGCTGCTGCCCAGATAAAGAGATTAAGAATAGAGGAGTGCGATTACAGCTGTCTGGCCAATTCAGTCAGCTCAAATCTACAAGTTCTAAATTAGTCGCAAACACAAAAACTCCTGCAAATAATTATTGTTATGCTGAAATAAAAGATCTCTTAAATATATATTTGAAAGAGAAATGAGGAAACCAGTCAAACTATTCTCCTGGGGACAAAAGTTTGGCTTTTTTTTTTCTTCTTAAAAAATCTTCAGTTTCAAAAGCACTACAGCTGCATGTTTCAGTAGTGCTGCTGAATGTTTTGAAGAATAAAGTTTCACAGTGGAATTAATTACACAACAATCTAGCTTCTTAACTAGAATAATCTTCTCATATAAGTTTGAATGCTGGATTCCAGACAGTTTACTATTTCTCCCCCCACCCCCAAAGCAAAAGGAATCTCAATAGCAGTGAACAACAACAAAAAAAACCCATTTTAATCCAAAGTGATCTCAAATAGCAATATTTCAAAGCCTTTCTTAACATTTCAAAACTTGAAATATTTCTGTGTATTAAAGTTATTTACTCAAGTAAAAGGGATAAAAATTAAAACTAAACAAGCTCAAGACTTAACTCCAGTAAGATGTTCATTTAATACTCAATTTCATATATTATTCCTAAACTGGGTTAGAAAAGTAATGTGATTTTTTTAAATTAAATAAACAAAACACCAAAACAGAAATATGCTCCATCTAATCTCCTGCTACTCCTACCTTTAGGACACATAAACCTGATTAAGTCCTTTCCTCTGAGTCTTGCTGGCTCCAGGTCTGTTACATCGGTGGAAAAAAAGCAGACTAAGAGAGACAGATGCAAAGTGGAGATGATGTTAGAGAGGAATGAGATACCTTCTCCACCACAGATCCGCACACACTAACTCCCTGTCTGTGTGTTAGAATAAAAGGCTGAGGGATGGCAGGCTGTCAGCTGCTCTGACATCATGTTCAGATGGAAATGCTACCTCCAGCTGTGCTCCTTTTAATGCCATATGCTACTCCTCTACACTCCTGCCACCAGCTTTTTCTTAGGAGAACTTTTCTCTTCTGTTAGTATAAACAAAATACTTCAAAGTCTTCCTTTTTTTCCAAACTTTCTAACAGAAGAAATTGAAAAACTCAGCATATGGAGTTCTACTGTATTTATGGAATAGCAACACTTCTGTCTTAAGTTGGTGGACTGGCTTACATACTGACAGCACACTCAAGCCACGGTGCTATTCAGGAAATCCAGATTCACTTTTATTTAACTCCAACGTCTAGTTTCAAAGGCAGTTTAAGGATATTTTTAAACCAACCCATTTGACATCTCCAGTCCCATTTCAACATTATTACCACACTTTTTTTCTGCTGAAATAATGGTATACACGCCTCAGAAATGCTGGCAGACTTATTCAGAACTATTACTTCTGCCTGGTTCACCTTATTATTTCACTCTTATTTAACTACTTATCTCCAACTACCTTCTCGGTAAAATTTCTCACACTGCCACAGTTAATGCAAATTTCAATTCTCAGTACCAACAAGCTGAAACTGCACTTTCTGAAATCCTGGAAAGTACTTCAGTTCAATGATACCAATTAATAAACTGATACAACCTGCTACAGCCACTTAAAATGAATGCTGCACTTGCCTATCTGATCTTTCTGCTCAGAAAAAGCTGAACCTTGCCTTCCTCTTGATCTGTGTTCCATAACAATCTTTTTTTGGGTCACTCTGTAATGTTTATGAACACAAGAAGATCTTTCAGAGGGAAGGGGGGGTAAAAAAGCCAGGTCTAGTAAGTTGGGGAACTTTTTAGTTGGAGTTTATGGGTCTTTTCTAATGGCTGATGAAACTGTAACGTAACCCCGGCTGGGCTGGCCGGGCTGACCAGTGCCGTGCAGGGTGCTGCGACATCTATGAATGTCAAATGCATCTCCACAGACTCTTGGGAGGGTGAGGAGTAGGAAAGGAGCTGGGGCCTGAGGCACCAGCATCCCAGCCCAGGTGATAACCACTCCGTTCCCATTAGAAAGCCGTGGCAGAGAGTTAAAGAGTAACAAAACCCAACGACTCTGTCTTGTCCTCCTCGCTTTCCCTAAGTCACAAACCTAACTTTCTCTAACTTCGCGGTGCATGACATAATTATGAAAGCCTCTCTGGAAGGCACTCTTTGGAAATAAATTTCTTCCCAGCCACACAACCTATTCTCCACAAACGCCCTCGCCCCATTCCAATATATCAGGCATTAATCACCCCATTTACCCAGTGGGGTGGGGGGTGAGTGACAGTTTAATGAGTCCCAAGCACCGCAATGGGCCAGCGACTCCCACTCCACAAATCAACCCCTTCACGTCTTGCTACCGCGGATCCATAGAAAGGTTTTGGGGGGGGCGGTTGTTTTTCAAAGAGGTAGGGGCGGGGGTGCCCAGTGGGGAGTGGGGCACAAATGCAAATCTTGACTTAGTTCGCGGTGCATAAAACACACGGGGAAAGAGGAAGGTTAAAACCACAGGGAAGGAGGTGGAGGGCGTAGAGCCGGTGCAGCAGGAAAACACCTCAAACAACAGACGAGAAAACAGACCCGGGTCACGGCAACAACAAAAGAAAAGTCGTAAGAAGAAGCCGGCGGGAGGAGGGTGGTTGCTACTGCTCCCCCGACGCCACAACGCGCGAGCCCCCGGGGCCCCCGGGCAACTGTACCAGCCCAGGAGGGCCCCCCTCCCCCTCAGCCCCCTCCCCCGGGCGCCACTGCAGCTGCACCGGTCCCCCGAGCCGCGGCCGTCCCGGGCGCCACTGCAGCTGCGGCGGCTCCCAAGC